TTAGTTTCGTTATTTTGTCGTATTATCGTTTAATCGTTGCTGTATGATCTTTTTGTCCACTGGATAACTAACATTTGATTCACACTTCTTTCTGCTCTTTCTATGTCACTCTTCTACGAAGATTTTTGTTGCATCTCTGATTTCCTTTCATTAGTGGTCATTCAGATAGTAATCAGCATTGTATGTGAACACGTTATTATGGCCATTTTCATTCATGCAACTATATTATCATTAATAAAACCACATGCAATTTTCTCAACACAACTTTTGTGCTAAAGCCTGGGCTTGAACGAGTTATTTGTACATCTAGAAATTGTATACTATTATTCTCATCCTCAGACTCCAACGTAAAAGTCAATGATAGATGGAAGCTAGATAATAAAGCAACTATTATATACGGATCGACATGTTTCTCCAAAAGAACAAAAGTGTCATCCACATAACGACACCAAAATCTTACTCCATTTTGTCTAATTGACAGAAGGTTCTTTTCCTCAAAGTCTGCCATAAAGAGCTCAGCCATTAACAGCGCAATGGGAGCACCCATAGAAACGCCGTCTATTTGATCGTACAGCTTCCCTCCAAAATAAAAATGAGTGTTTTTTGTTGCGAAGACCAATAGTTTCTTAAAATCTATTTGTTTCATGGTGGGCTGTTTATTGGATGAGTATAATTTTTTAATTGCTAAGTCAATAATTTCATTTGTGTAAAGACTAGTTACATCAGAAGAAACCATAATATTACCCGTAGACAGTAGTTCATTGGTTTTAAGTGTTCTAACAAACTCAAAAGTATCTTTGACAGTATTAGAATTTTGAGGCAATTCTGACAAGATGTTGGTTAACTCTTTTCTAATCCATAGTTAAATGTGTTTATAGCAGATAAAACAGGTCTTAATGGTGTATCCGTTTTGTGTACTTTCGGCAACCCATACATAAAGCCTGGATTAGACCGAACTGGACTGGCGTTGTTATACAAGGATTCACTTATGTGACCTTGACTGTATAGTCGACGTAAGAGATTAGTGAGGCTAGTTTCACGAGCTATAGTAGGGTCAGTGCATAAAGGTTGAAACTTAGCGTGATCATTCAAGATTTGTAACATTTTTCCATAATAATCAGTTCTATCCATAACCACTATTCCTCTACCTTTATCTGGTCTTGTGATTACAATTGACTTATCCATTTTCAAAGATTTGAGTATTCTCTGATTATGTTCTATCTCATTCCTAACTTTTTCTCTCAACCGTTTGCTATTCCAACGGAAGGAATCGGTGATTGAACGGAGTTTTGTGGCCAAATTCAATTCTTTAGGATTTAATATGCGTATATCCTTATTACTAACACTATCAGTATCCTTTAGATCTTTCAACAGTTGTCAATGTTCCTGATATACTCCAGACACCCGATGGAAAAAATTCTCAATATTTCCTATCATGTTTAAATCATCTCCACCTGTTGGCATTAGCGTAAAATCTAATCCTCGAGCAAGACATTCCTTCTCTTCTCCCGTCAATACCCTACTCGACAAATTTCTCACTATTTTGCTCATATTGGGGTTCGAATGACTACCGACTTGATTTCTACTACCAATTTTCATGTAATTTTGTAATTTTTTACGATGTCTCTCTTCCACCAGTTTTGACTCATCAGCAGTTTTTGTTTTCACCACCTGGAGAAGTTTTTGAAACACCACATAACTAACGCAATTTCTTAATTCATCACAGCAACAGTTCGATATAATTCGATTTCAAGTTACTTTAGTATTGAAATAGAATATTAAAACTGTACTGGCGCTAGCTGAAATTGATAGATAACGTTTTTGGTGTTCAATTATTTCAATAAGAGATTCATGATGATAGTGACTTCGACTCAAAATACATCTGTAACTGCATCGTGACCGTTACGCTTCCTTCAAAAGTTATGAGCGCTATGACGCGATATAAGACCCGGATCCTCTATTGTGTCCATCCCTTTATGTTGTAAAAACTTTAGGTCTCTTCATATGGTCCTACGTGATTCTCCAAAAAACTAGTTTTTTGTCTTTTTTACGAATTCTATAAAAGACCCACAACACAAGAAAAAAATCAAACCTAGGTCGATGATTAAAATCTCTTTTCTACGCCGCATCTCATGGAGCACAAATCAACCAAAATAGTTTTCAAAAGGAAATACAGTATCGGAATACAGAACAGGATTTTAGCTTTTTTTGTGACTCTGACGTCGTTTTTCTCTACAAAATCGAGTTTACATTAACTCATCTATTATTTACCGGCATCTAGACCACTAGAGCTGTCAAATCAGTCAAGAATTAGTTTTGCCGAGAGAGTGTGAAAAAATAGGATTTCCCGTGATATTTATGCTAGGATTTGATCACTTTGGAAATTGGTTTGGGACAGCCATACTGGGTAGGCCTTTAACTTTGAAATTGATTAAATATCATTTTTCTGTACCATTTCCAATGTTGAATAAGATAAAATGTGCCTTTGGAAAACCCCGACTAACAAAGACAACGAAAATTTGAATTTTTCTTTAACTTAAAGGATTTTTTTTTGATTTTTACAAAAATTTTTCAAAAATTAAAAAATATATTTTTTTAATCAGCTCGATGTGCCTTATCCAACCATGTATAATAAGTTTGAAAAGAATTTTGTTGAAGGTATGTATTACTGACATCTTACACAAAAACAACCACTTTCTTTTTCAGAAGTTAGTTTATACCGCCGACAATGTACAATAATGGTTAATTATGATCACGGTTACGCATTTTACTCTTATACAAAATAATTCTACCATTTTAAATTTGTTTTTAATCGTATACTACAGCAGACATTCAAACATCTTAACTAATTAATAAGAATATATTAGTAATGTTCAATACTATTTTAGTCAATAAAAAACTGATACTATTAGTTCAAGGAAAATAAAACACTTATTGACATGTTACAAAGACCTTCCCGTTTTCTTTTTCAAAATTAATTTTTTAAACATTTAGTTTATTTTATTTATAAAATAAAATCTTTAACGAAGAATCATCATAGTTTATTGATAAGACAAGTTTAGTCTCGACGTTGATCTGTTCAGATATGAGAAGATCATTAATAAACACAAAGAAATCATTCAAAAAATTTAAACTTTTTCATTTTTAAGATTTAATTCTTGAACAGAAATTTCTTTCATTTCTCCTTTTCGAATTTTTCCTGTTACAGTCATAGGAAATTCTTGAATAAATTTCCAATATTTCGGTATTTTATAATGTGAAATTTGATTTTTACAAAAATCGTTCAGTTCTTTTTCACTTATTTGAATACTATTGGATTTTAATTTAATCCAGGCCATAACTTCTTCGCCATATATCCTAGACGGTACACCAATTACTTGTACATCACTTATTAATGGATGTTTACGTAGAAATTCTTCAATTTCTTTTGGATAAATATTTTCACCACCACGTATAATCATCTCTTTTATTCGACCAACAATATTTAAATAACCTTCACTATCCATAGTGCCTAAATCACCTGTATGTAACCATCTTGATTGATCTATTGTTTTCATCGTTTCTTCTGTATTGTTCCAATAGCCCATCATCACATGATAACCTCTTGTACATACTTCACCTACTTCACCTCGTCGTAAAATTTCACCTGTTTCAGGATGAACAATTTTGATTTCCACATGATCATGAGCTTTTCCAGCTGTCGTCGTTCGTTTTTCTAATGAATCATTAACAAATGTTTGTGTTATTACTGGTGATGTTTCTGTTGAACCGTAACAGGTTCCGAATTCTTTAATATTCATTTTATTTTTTATCTGCATAAGTGTCTCAGTTGGACATGTTGAACCACCCATAACTCCTACTCTTACTGAACTAAAATCGTATTTATGGAAATTTTTATGTTCCAATTGTGAAATAAACATTGTTGGTACCCCTGACAGTGATGTACATTTTTCTTCTTGAACTGTCTTCATTACTTTTTCTGCATCAAAAGTCTCTGATGGAACAATAATGCATGCACCAATACTAGTACAAGTAATATTTCCCATTACCATACCGGAACAATGATAAAATGGTACTTGAATACAAATACGATCGTTTTCTGAGAAATTAAATCTTTTTCCTGTAAAAAATCCATTATTTAAAATATTATGATGTGATAGAGTGACACCTTTAGGATAGCCGGTAGTACCCGATGTATATTGAATGTTAACTGGATCATCAAATTGAAGGTGACTTTCAATTTGGTCTAGTTCTTCGTCAGATACTTTATTTCCTAAAGTGATTAAATGATTCCAATCGTTTTCTAAAATGATTATTTTTTCTAAATTATGACAATCTGATTTAACTTGGTGTAATAATTGTTCATATTCACTTGTTCTATAACATTTTGGTGCTATAACTAATTTGATACCCGATTGGTTTAGAACATACTTTAACTCATTAATTCGATAAGATGGATTAATACTAACAAGAATGGCACCTATGCGTGCTATTGCATATTGTGTAACAACCCATTCATAACGATTTGGTGACCATATTCCAATTCGATCTCCTTTTCTTACACCTAAATATAATAGACCTTTAGCTACCATTGTTATTTCATGCCACAGCTGTTCATAATTTGCTCTATAATTTTGAGAAATAACAATGAGTGCATCACGTTTAGGAAATTTTTGAGTAGTTTTACGAAGATTTTCACCAATAGTTTCACCCAATAAAGGAACTGTACTTGCTCCATGCGAATATGATAATAAATTTTGTGGACTAGAACCTAAAGAAGACAAATTAGTTGGATGAACACGGAGAGGTTTCTTCGATCATAGAAGAACTTTTCAAGATAAAGATCTTTGACTACTGTAATTATTTAAAACCTAACATATTGTTACCCATAAAATATATGGATTTATTTATTTATTTATTTATCTTTTATTTCAAGCACAGACTGCTGTAACCATTTTAGTCATTTATGGAAATATTTCAATTGCGAGTAATAGATGTTTCATTGTTCACTATTGATTAAGAATAAAGGGTGGGCCAGAAGTTCTGACTCGATTTGTATAATAAATTTTTCTATAGTGAAACAAGTGGTTGTAAATTTGTCTCTATGAAGAAAAGATGCAGTAAAAAACGCTCTACAAAACGTGATGCACTCATTGTTATTTCTCAAAATT